GGATTGGTTAGAATATTGGAGCCATCAAATTAATAATAATAACTTCTGCTTAAGCTGACTAACTTTGTTTTAAAAAAAAGGATTGGTTAGAATGTTGGAGCCATCAAATTAATAATAATAACTTCTGCTCAGAGTAAGTTATGTACTTAGAGCGAAACTAAAAATCAACCTAGTCATCAGTATAGTTAATTAACTTATAATGCATTAGAATGCATTGTTTCTATAGTCAGGTACCCTTGCTGTTTTCGGCCATAATCTCAACAATATCTCACGAGGTTCAGCCAGCTTAGAATTTTTGGTTAGTCTTAAATAAAAGTTCTAAGCTATCAGCGTATAACAATATTTACAATAAGAGTGTAATAATAAACGAAAAATGAAAATAGAAAAGTAATTACATTATTATTATTATAATGAAATTATTATTAATGAAATCAACAATAAATAAACACAATGGCGTATGTTACTTAGGCAACCCACAAACACTAGTTCTTATCTTATTGTTGATGTAAATTTGTTTGGAATATCTTGCTCTTTCTAACACTACACTTTACCAAAGAAAACTTATTGCGACACCTCAATTATATAATATCTTAGGCTATCCTAACTATGACAAGTAAACCCACATGTTTTAGTTTAAACCGTGTTGGGTTGGTAGCATGTACTTTCCCACAGCACAAACAAAAAGCAATGTATTGCTTTGTATCTTTATAGAAAGTAGAATAACAGCTGACATGATCATTATAATATAACAATTTTGAATGTAATCAGACGAAAACAAGTAGCTAAGCTTAATATATAGTTTGTCTAGAAACTTTTATCGCCAATCTGACTTAACTATTCCCAGTAACAAACACTTCAAGGTGGCTGTGAGTTTATGCTTGTAATCAAATATTCTTGATTACACAATGTTATATACTACTTCATATTTTCAATAACGGAAATATTTGTATGGCGATGTGTATATTTATATTCAGAGTGATTTTCTATTCTTTCTGTCAGGTTTATCCTTTGTTTTATAACATTCATTTATATTGTAACACTAGCGACGATTGTAGACTAAAGCCATTTGATACAATTAAAAATAAAACATTGTGTATGCGTTTTATAATAATCATTTTAGGGTAAATTCTCCTTACACGACGGTTCATTTTGTCTCCCGGTGTCTCAACAGGTAAAGGTTGAGGGCTTGTTAGGCAAAATTTCAAGATTCGATCCCTGCGGCAGAAACAGCGCAGGTTGCCTATTGTTTAATTTTGCATTTAAGTAACAGTCAAAGAACTCTTGGTTCCTCTTATATTTTTATTATGCTTCCTGGTGGCTCAGCGATAAGTCTATAGGCTTACGACGCTAAAAAGCGAGTTTCGATGCCCGTGGTAGATACAGCACTTATAGACCATTGTGTAGTTTTGTGCTTAACAACATCCAAGCAATCCAATTTTTCGATATATCGTGTGAATTAAAATACCATTTAACAGCAATGTGTGTTTTGTACGAAAAAAAGTTTATCCGATAGGAGGATCATGTTTTATATACATATATAAAGGTGCCTAAATGTGTTGTGAGGAAACGGGTCCTCGTAGATCAATGTAATTCTAACACATATTTTGGCAAATCATTTTCATTGCCTAACAGATTTTATCACCAGGTATCTAAAACTTGCCTCAAATAGCGAAATTGTCAGGTGCTAAACTGAAATCTGTTGGGAGCTGAACAATGTCTATAAATAGTGTCACCAAACCATACAAAAAAAAACCTCTACTTTTAAGTAAAGTTCGATAATACTATCTGTTAAAAAGCATGGAATTAAAAAGAGGCACGGGTTGGCCTTGTGGTAAAGCTCTGGATTTCGAAGCTGACAATTGATGTTCGAATTCACGTGATACCACAAAATATTTCCTGCACTGTTATAGGAGCGTTATAATAGTGGCAGTCTATCTTTTAACGTAAACAGTGGACGGTAGAGTGCTGCTAATTGGCCGCCTATCCTGTGATTATTAGTTCAACATTATGGACGGTGACAGATAGCCTTAGTAACTTTTCATCAGGTACAAGATACAAATACAAATGAGAGTAAAAAAAAAACCTAATTACGACCAATGGAAATTATTTGCTATAAAAAATATAATAAATAAATCTACATTGGTTCCTTTGATCTGCAATATGTGATTGGAATAATTTGTTATTACATTTGAAGTGGAAGCATTAAAGGTGACTAAATGAGACTAAATTTCTACGTTAATGTTAATTTGATATAAAATATGTTAATTTGAGATACCACGTCTAATTCTACAATTATTCTCCACCAGCTGTATGTCGGGAACCATGTTTGAATGGTGGTCGTTGCATTGGACAAGATCGTTGTTCGTGTGTGTACGGATTCTCTGGAAGAAGATGTGAACTAGGTAAAATATTGAGTCTAATTTCGCAATTTTTAGAAATAGCTTTACCAAACAATTGACAAAATATAAAATTAATTTATTTGAAACTGTAATGTCTAAATAATATTGTTGCAGTGTTTTCCTGACAAACTTAACGTTGCTTGAAAACATTATTCAGTTAAATTTGAAACGATGCATACCTTTTTAAATTATTTATACCTTAATTGAAAACAACAAGAACAAAAACACGTTTGGGGTAAATTTCAAAAACTGCATGATTTTTTTTAAAGAGGCTGAATTCTGAATAATAAATTTTAAGCCTTTTTAGCATTCCTAAAATGTTCAAATTATTGATTAAAGGTTATATTACAGTAATCATCTTGTTAACAGTATGAAATTCATATGATTAAAATCGATATTTGTAACATTTAAACTATATCACAAACAGTTATAGTATCTATTAAAAGGCCCCCCAGGTGGCGCAGCGGCATGTCTGCGGACTTACAATGCTAGAAATGTGGTTTCGATACCCGTGGTTGGAAGAGCACAGATAGCCCCTTGTATAGCTTTGTGTTTAACTAAAAATAAACAAAAACCGATGAAAAGAAATCAACTAATTTTGATATTGTAGTGGCTTGGTAAGTGATTAGTTTTATTTCATCACGTTCATTTCAAGTTATCTATGAAGAAAGTTAATGCTACTGCAAATTTCTTACAAATAATTAATTGATTAATCAGTTAATACGTTCACTAATAATGCTTTTTAAATATAATTTTACTTTAAAGTTATATTCAGTTGAAACTACGATAGGTTTAATTTATAAAAGGCACGTAATTTGGCGCTGTAAGTATAACCAGTACACAACCAGTGAGCGCGAACTATCGGTGTTCCGAAAGCCCGGTAATTTCAAAGGTGAGGTTTGAATCCTGTTCGTAAGCAAGAGACTGAATGAGATTTCTCTCTTACTCTTGCATAGTATTTGTAAGTTAAAAATAGTTCATTTTTAATGTTCAAAAATATTTAAAACCAACGTTGTTTGCAAATACAAATGTATTATTCCACTGCTTGATATTACTATTACTACTTGTAGTAATATTAGTAAAAGTTAAAATACTATAACTTATAACTAATAGTAATATAAGTATAACTGGAGTTGTACTTACTCTTAGTCTTAAGTAGTTCTAGAAATTAGAATACGTTTTGTGTATTTTCATTTTTAGATTTTCAGGAGTTTTGGATATATTTGTTTACTATTTTTTACAGACCTCAGAACCGGACCATGTTTTCGCAAGGTGAAGAACCAGTTCTGTGCAGGGCAGTTATCGGGTGTTGTGTGTACCCGACAGCTTTGTTGTGCTACAGTAGGAATAGCATGGGGTCATCCCTGTGAAGAGTGCCCCTCAGAACTTGACTGTGATCGGGGTTTCATTACCAATATCAACTCCAGGTCTTGTCAAGGTAAATATTATATCTTCAGTAGTCACGATTGGAAAATTAAAATGAAGTTTGGTAAATTTGAAATTGGATTATTATTAAGAAACCGTTTTTTTTTTTATCTTCTTTCGGAACTGGTTTGGGGTCGGCCAACATTTTTATAAACCAATAATTTTTACACCCGAGTGGCTGGCTCAGTCGGCAACCGTATAAGACGAGGTTGTTTGATGAAGAGGATTTGAACTCGCGATCGTCAGACTGCGAGTTGAGCACCCTAACCATCAGGCTATGACAGCCCCTAAGAATACACGCATTACTTATGCCGCATTTCATAATGTTACGTCTCCGTTTGTTAATTGATTTTTCCGTAACTTCGTTCCAACGAAACTTTAACGACACAAGTCTTTTCTTAATAAAACTGGTTTATTATTTCCG